CCTATCCAGGCGAACCTCTCGCAGATAGCCAAGATGCCGATGTGGCCGCCGATGAATAAGACGAGGATGGCATTTTGCCCGAAATCCTCTTTTTCGGCCTCCCAACATGCAAGCCACACTCCATGCTTTTACCCTTCTTTCACAGAAGTACACAACCAGTGACGTCACAGGGCTGTTTTGGCCGCGCCAAGATGGCCGCCAATTTTGATCTCAGCCGGTCAACTTCGAATGCTTAAAAATGTACTTTCCGGTATGCGTTGGCCCAAAAAAAGTACACAGCGCTTGCAAATAACGTTCAAACTCTATTATATTGCAAAAATTTCGGATATGAAATTACGTTTCAGTAGCACTTTAAGGCTCAATACGGATGAAATTATAGAGCACATTGTTTTTATTTCTTAGCAGAACATACAGAAACAGGTGGGAGGCTAAATGTGGAATTTAGTTGTTTCACCCCAAAATGTCAGTCATAATAGTCAGAGACCAAAGCTTGATTTTCTACAAACAAATTCCTCAACTTGGTACTTGACTTCTTTGTTTTAGAACTTATAAGTCAAGCTGATGGATAGATAAAAAATTATCCGAACGTGACTACAAAATAGTTAATTCGGTGTTTTGGTAATGTCAATCAATGCATAAGATTCTTACAAATACAGGGTTGAATCAAGAGATTTCTTGGTTGAATTTAGTCACCAAAGCTCAGTAGTTTTTATGTAATCCTGAAAAAAAGTACCCCCCTTCTCGCCTCATATTCTCCCCTTATCTATGAATAGAGCCTTGATAGACCCTGTGAATCATATGGAACCAATAAAATTCATTGAGCTGAATCTCCCGTTGAATTTAATCGAAAGAATATTTTTTTATTTGGAGAACTGTTGACTTTTCTTTCTTAAAGTGCATTATTTGTTTACGTGGTAGACCGTTTTGAAAAAGGAGAAAATGTCGTTGGTAATCTTTTAATACACATGCACTTCAGAGGAATTAAAAAGAATTACATCGATCTTCTTTAAACGGGTGAAATATTTAACTTTTTTTCGATGTGGAACAAGACTGAGACTAGGTTTACACTAGAGGAGAGTTTTCCGGATTCGTAAATGTTTCCGGATTCATTAATTTTGGAGTATTCGGATTCGTACGCGTTTACACTGAAGGATATTCGGATTCCTGACTGTTCACACACAAAGACAACTCCAGGAACATTCTAAATGGAATGATTACCAAGTCCAGTGTTTTTTCGTCGTTCGATCGACAAAGTGAAAATGCCTCTCCCAAAAAAGGCTAGAGTAGATCCAGATGCCACTGAGGCAAATTTGAGCTGGACAGATGCCAAGCCATCTACGTCGTCGGCGATTACGCGTGGCTGACGTTAAACTTCCTTGCAATAATAATTTGCGTTTCCTCAGAAATACTACGTACACATGATAAAATTTATCGCCTGAACCTGCAACAAGATTAGGCAACCGGAGACCGCCAGCAATGTTAGCACCCGATCCTCCATTTTGGTTTCCCCGCAAACTCAAAAGATTGCCGGCGGAAATAATATCCGGATTCGAGAAAAAAAGCAGTTACACAACAAAACTTTCCGGATTCGGAGTTATCGGATTCAAAGTTCCCACTTTAAATTCCGGATTCAAAATTCCCGGAGACACGACCAAACCGGGGAGTTCTTATTTCGGATTCGTCCACTTTCGTGTAAACGGCAAAATCAATCCGTTACTAAAACGTTTCGGATTCATCTCGAATCTGGAACAATTTCCTCTAGTGTAAACCTAGTCTGAAAGCCCACCTTGGTGGACATCAAGATCAGAAATATATTAATCATGGTCATTTTTGCTGTCTCGGTAAGAGAACGCCTGAAAGTTGTATCCACTTTCTCGTTAGATATTATTACAGGGAAGAGAGAAACGCCTTTAGCAGCTTACAAGTTAAAACAAGAACTGATTCGAATTTAACTCAAAATTTTATGGTTGCTGATAGGTGTTGATGAGCAAAACCACGAGGAGCCTCCTGTTAAAGTCGTTAAATGATTTATGTGGAGATTTTCATCATTACATTGTTCTTAAGGGAAAAAAAGAAAGAAGGAAAGAGGGGAGATAGAGAGACAGAAAGGTAGATGGGAGAGAGAACGATTAACTCACCGAAAGCCAGTTTTAAAACAGGTTACCATGTGAACAGCAAAAACTAGTGTTGAAGTTGTATACAATGGTTTCTTTGGACATGCTCAAAGGTTATAGCCTGAGGCTCTGTTAAAATTGTTCAAATCTGATATACGTTATACGACATTTCAATAAAAATAAGTATGATTGAAGCGTATTCAAGGAAATTTCAGCTAAATTGACGTGAAAGACCCCTGGATCCACCTTCGGTTCTTTGCACGATAAAAAGATAAATAAACCGAGATTTAGATCTAGGAATGACTTTTGGACACGGACATTTATTTTCAGTGTTACCCTCATCTTTACTGTGTTTTCTGAAATGAGTCACGAACAGGTCGTGTCATAGGCACAATTACAATTCAAAGTTTACTTACCTTTGATAACGAGAAAATTCAAGTTCTTAATTGTATAGTAGCTCTTGTTCCTGCAAGGAGAAGAATTAAAAAGTTCTGCTTAGTAGTTGGCCAATAAATCAACGATATGAGTTGAACAGCAGAAAGCTGAACTTATAAAGGCGCTTTCCTCACAATTACCTCTCACTCGGTAACTGATCTTAGGGCGTCTTATATCCTTGCACGCCAGGTTTTGTAGAAAATTTCCTATTCAAAGTGAGTTCATAATTGCTCCTTTGAACAAAAGCACCGAGAAATAATCAATGGAAAAATGACACTGACCATTCAACGGGCGACTTTTACATACAAAAATGACGGAAGTTAAGGTTCTTGAGCAAGGATAAGAAATGAACTTAATAGATTTAATAATCATAGATTCCGGTTATCAGCAAAGAAAATGACATTAATAGAACGCAGCTTAGAGTTCACTTTTCAGCTTAGTCAAAGAAACTTTTATGAGAATTATTATGTCTTGATTTAAAGATTTTCTATCTTTCAATGGAGCTGTCATATTTACGTGATTTATATCTACTGTGGTAGACAATTGCTAATGTCGTGAGTAAAGCTGAGCAGTATGGAAGTTCTTGTCTTAAGTACCGGAAGTTTAGGTCACCTGACAACGTACTATAGCTAAAAGCACACTTCTAAAATAGAATAGACAATGACTTCTTTTCTCTGGTAAAGTCGATTATTGTACATGATAAAGTTAAACGTACGTTTGCACGCCCTTTTGTGTATGGCAGGTTCTAGACTGATTTCAACAGCGAGATTAAAACACTAAAATAGCCATTTCTTCTGATTAATTAAGTTCCCTGTTGTAATCTTGAGTCTTAAGATTTTAATTGACATCTTAACTCAGCAGGGAGAGTACTTTTACCGCGCAAAGGAAACTTTTCAATTTTTGGGGGAGTCACGTAACCTTTTTATAGCTATGACGTAGGAGAAAATTACATTCAAGTGAACGTTGGCCGGGCACAAGTGACCGCCAGTAAGAATGTAAATGATGGCTAATTGTTCGTACTTCTGTGTTCTTGTTTTTATGGTTAAAATGTATTATAAAAATATGTAGATCTCTCTATAATCAATGAAATTTCCTACTGATATATTTCGTCATATCATCGAGGCACTAGATGTTTACATTAATTGCCCGGTGCAAAGATCACAAGGATGTCTGACAGAGTGAAAAATGTGTCGATCTGCAGATAAAACCAGAGATTCAAGACAAGACTGAACGTAAAATAATTAACGCCGCTTTTAAACTTCTTTACTCTTTAGGCCCTTGGATATCCATAACTGCGAATGTGAAATACATCCAGATCTGGAAATTTCCCTCACTCTTAGCTGCGCCACCTTTGATTATTCGAAGACGCTGAGTACACATATTGTAAAGAAAATCCAATCGATCGTCATGAAAGCCATCTCACTCGTTCTAGTTCTAATGAAATTAATTGTTTTTTATTTGACTGGCGTTAAGACGTGTAACCTGTCCACTGAACTTCTTGTTGAAGTAAACAACAAACCTGAAAGGATAATTTTAGTTGTCTAAGTTTTACCGTTACTGAGCAGTAATACTGAGCGGCACCCGATAAAGATGAATGACCAACTTTTACCTAATTTTTCTAACAATTAGCGGCTCTTGCACGGCGTTTTAAGCCATGCTAAACAAATGCATACTTTGTCATTGACCGAAAAATAATAAAAGCAAGTAAGAGTAAAAGGAAAAAGTACTAACGTTCTATAAAAACAGTAATCCCAGATTCAGCTTTGAATATAAGTTTTCAAACAAATAAATTAAGTCTCTCCCTTGGCCTTGAGTCCTTCAGAACTTCATGCAGTTAATTGGCTAGAGGCATGAACACTTTCTTAAAAGCTTTTAGTGTCTGTTAAAATTGATTCAGGCTAGCGCATCAAAATTCTCTCATTTTACACGCAGGTTTTCTTTTTTGATCCGCTTTAGCCGTTCGATCTTTACTCAGTCCTTTGTCAGCCACCATGAAATCAAATTTTCAACAAATACCCAAAGGTTTCAAAACTTTGAATAGAGATATTAAGCAGTGGTCTTGGAAACCGTGCATTTTACGTTTAAAGGTGCACAGGAATTGTTATAAAAGATGTGTCTGGTTTAAGTATTGTTCAGGACGTGATTGTGTTATTTTAGAGAGTTAGGGGGAGCACAAAATTATATTTAACAAATCATCGTTAATTTCAGTGTTTATGCCTTGTCTTATTTGACATTCATTGTGGTTGTCTACTCATCGCAGAAACGTACTTCCCCGTAAAGGATCCATTTTTTTACCTTGAAGTCTTTAAGGAAACTGTGAACATTGTAGCACTGCTCCTCTGAATTTATGATCTTCACTACTGATTCATTCTCAACGCAAGAGAATGGATGAAAATATTTATATTTAGGGCTGAGCTGCACGTTTTAATGGGATATTTCCAACAGAAACAGGTATATTTAAGCCAAATCAATAAGGAGCGCCGTTCCTCTATTTCCTCGATTCCATGCAGGATGGACTGACTCATACAATTAGCAATTTTTAGTAAAAAATCTGTAGCTGATAATGCGAGTAACAGTTCAAAGTATCAACGGTTGACAACTGAACTCTAGCGATCTTCGTCATTCACCAGTACGTTATGTAGAAATAGACCCAGTACTTTGAAAATACTTGCGTTGAAACATTGCCAAAAAAAGAATGATTGATAAAATATCAGCTCGGAAAACACAGATGTTTGTAAATCGTTTGGCAATCGATGGCGGGCAAGTTTCCTTGGATAAAAACATCATTATTTACACGGAGCGAACATACTTAAATATGCTGAAGATAAGGATGAGTTAACCTTTGTTGACAGGAGCTTCCTTTTTCATTTTCAATCAATTTATGTTTGCAGTTTTATCTATTCAGGGTATTCCAGCAAATTTTTCTTTTGAAATTTTTCGTTGTAACGAGATTTTCAACGAGAAAATAAGAATGCAGTAAGACCGTAAAATAAGATATGAACGTGAAACACATTAAACCTACCTCTATGGAACTTTAACTATTTTGCAAAGTATGAGGGATGTCCATCTTTAGAATTCCTCCTCACGAGTCCTTTTGTTGAACACGTCAAATAGAGTTGGTTTTTTGAAATTTTGACAAGTATTCATGGTTTGCTCTCTCGGTCTTGAGATAAACTGCAAAATAGGCGCAAGAACCAAGCATCGAAGGAAAAGGAAATTGATATTTTTTAGCTCCTGGCAGAAATGAACATTCAGGTTTTTTTAATCGCCAAGTTTTGCAGTTGAGCCGTAGGCAGTCCCTATACTGCAATTTATCCTCAAATGGGTATATTGTTCTTTTTGGCAACAGTCGACTTATACTTTCATCAGAACAAACTCACTCTATCTAATTTATTTTCCAAGTATCTGTCGAAAGAGTGTAAAATTTTGTTATATTTTTTCATTTATGCCCGAGAACGGTTTCGTAATCAGTGATGAAAGAAAAGCGAGAATGCAAAGCGGAATCTTTTGGTAAAAGGAATATTCAATCGTAAACAGCCGCAAAATGATCAAAACAAGGCAGAAAATATATTCTAAAATCACAACGCTTCCATCCGTTCTGTTTATGTTTGAATAAATGAAAGAATACATTAAGGAAGGGTTTAAGAGAATAAAGGAAGAATTAGGCAAAACAAATTGGATTTTTGTCGTTATTATTTAAGGGATAGTACTGAATTCATTATCGAAGATGTCTCAGAGACCGGTAAACAGGTGAAAAAAATAGCTGATTGATTAGAAAATCCAGATCAAAATGGAAGACGAAGCATTTATTCAATCGCAATGAGACTTGGAACGCTCGACTGTCTTTGGATGTCTAAGAATTCTAATAACAACCTTGTAAAAAGAATGTCTAAGAATTCTTATAATAACCTTGTAAAAAGTCGAACAGTGCGCTAATACGTTTCAAAGACAAATCCTTCAAGATTTTATTCATCAGAGAAAATAATTTTTTATTTCATACAAGACGAAGAGTCAAGCAAGAGGGATATATTTCATGAAGTAAACAATTCGTTGCTTTTGATGTTAGCGGATAAAGTTTAATATAAGAAAATAGAATGACGGAGATATATGAGACGTAATTTGTCTTTAGTTGTACGAAATTGATAATAAAGAAACTGGATGTTTTTTCCATTTCCCGTAAGAGCAGGTGAATCTTTTGTCTCCCTCCTCTCCTTATACGCATTTTGCAATAACGAGCACTTTATGGCCATCATTTGCACAACCTTTAAATTGAATTTGGTCAAACAAAAATCTGTTAAATCACTTAGGACCACAGGGTATAAAACGTAGAGTTGTTTTGCCCTTACAAAAATATAGATACATATACGTATGTAGATTTTCATGTTGGTTACAGCCATAGAGATGTTATCTTTCAGGAAGCATTTTTATATCTGGGCTGGATAGACAAAAAATACTCCGATTTTCAGAAATGCCCGGAGAAAAGAGCTGAAGACTTAACCTCGAATATATGTCATAGGGTTAGGGTGAGGCTGGCGTATAATCAATTTTGCTCACAAATAGTTTTTATACACTTTCAAAAAGTAAATTATTCAGTACATGTAGGTTTTTCCCAAGCTATCAACAACTCAAACGGAGTTTGTCAAAAGGGAGGGGGGTTAAAAAACGTAATAAGTCAAACAAAAAGGTTCATAGTATGCATTGCAAAATGGTCCCAATTTCGATATATAGAGAGCTGTCGTAATAAAACGATGAACTACCTCTGAAGTCTTGAACCAGTTTGTTATAATTATATATATATAAGCGAAATAGGCAACGTAGGATCCAGGATCCAGTTTGACTGATGAGTGGATCAACTTTTGTTGGTCTACGAAACAGGCTGTATTAAAATCCATATGTGCGTAACCTGAGTAGTCCATTTGCTACTATATATATTAGTGGAACTAACTAT